AACTTTTTGTTGATTTCTCTGCCAAGGACCAAAGAACATGAATCAACAAAATTTATCTTTATCCTAATTTCTTTATTTTACGTACAAAAAGGAAATTTTAAAAATTCTAGTGCTCTTTAAATTAGAAAAGAAATTTAAAAAAAAAAAGAGAAAAATAAAAAAATTTTGAATACTCGACAGTCAAGCACACTGCATGGTAGAAGTCAGCCCTGCTCCAATTCTCAGTGTCCACAGAGAATTTGTCGTAACATTCTTGTATTACAGGAACCATGTCTTTGTCCTTTTTCTCATCACCTCCTGCATCAAAATGAGTTAAAGAAGATAGTATTAGCTCCACAATAGCCCAAATAAAGGGGAAAAAGATGCAAAATTATGTGATAATGAGGGATCAAGAGAAAGATAAGAGAACCAAATTTCTTGAGAACTTGGCCCATGTCTGGAGGAGTTAAGTTAGCTAGGAAGAAATCAAGGGTTTTGGTTGACAATTGTAGAATGTGGAGGATTTAAATGTCTTGTGAGGCATAGATTAATGAAACTTGGAAGTGAGGGATGAGAATATTAGATTCCTTGAAGGTCAAGGAGAAGTTACTTTTGGTTGCTTCATGTTATTGCCTAGACTTATCCCAAAAACAAATATTCAGACTCTGGGGAGATTTATATGAACGGCTAAGGAAGGCATAATTAATGATTCTATCGAATGATAGACCACTAATTAATGTTATGTCCACAAACAAAAAATCAGTCATCATACAAAATGATAAGAGGAGCTATTAATAGCGAAAATTGACTAAATGTGAGCGGTTAATTGGTACCCCAATTCGCGTCCCTCTAGTCCAAATCATTGACGTGCTATAAGACTATAATTGGTTCGAAAATGAAGGAAATTCTTGTCATTATGAGAGTAGAGAAAAATAATTTCGAAAATTCAATAGTTGTTGCCTATACAAAGTGGTAGTTTATGTATTTGGGTGATGTTTTTATAGTAAACAATCCAAAAAAAAAAAAAAAAAATCTACAATTGTTAATGCAATTGATAATTGGATTGGAGTGAATCAGATTTGAGAGTTTAGAGTATAAATGTCCAAAATTGAAATTCGGAGTGTTAAAGTGAGAATCAGGTACAATTTAGAAGAAGCAAAGTAAAATTCATCGTTTTCTTTTTTTTTTTTTTTTTAATAAAAAGAAGGAAAGTCCAAATAATCATGCTTTGAGCCAAAACAATCTTTCTCAAATTTAAGAACACTAACAAAACCCAAAATAAATTTAAATTGATAAAGCAAAAACACCCCTTCTACCTAACCCTCTCCGCTTTGTGATTTAATTAATTAATTGCTGCAAATCTTAATTTTCAATCTCGTAGCTTTATGACATAATGAGAGATGTTTTACGCTTCCCTAGGAGGTCTGCCGCAATATTTACATCCTGGGGAAATAATTTTACATTTTTTTTGTAGTAAGTGAGAGATATTAAATCTATATTTTTTGCTTATAATTTCTCTCACCTTATCAACTAACCTGACCCTCCCGCAAAATAATGATATTTTCTGCAGTAATTCTTGATGGGAAAAACTTTAATTAGTAGCATATGAAAATTTTCACTTGGTCTGAAGATATGGTTTCATATTCCACGCCTTCTCATCATTCCATTGTGATGAAAGGAGGACTTTAGCTAGTTGTACAAAATATAATTTCCATTAAATCTGGAAAGAAAATCAAATAAAAAATTTATTAAAGTTCTATTCATCAATTAAAAATATCAAAATACACAATAGGTCATGATTCTTAAGACTACAAGCCTAAGAATTATATACATCATCTACTAATATCCTGACTCGTGTTATGACTTGGACAAGGAATCCCTCGATAATTGTTGCGAGGCTCAACACGGCAAAGAAAATTCATTCAGGGCAGCTTCATTATCCTTGAATCCTAATCCAATCACAAATTGGTGAGTTCTATAGTTCGAAATCGACTTGGAAACCAGCTGATGTACAAACGCGAGTTTTCTTGGTGTCTTTTTCTTCTAAGAAGTGGATTTACATAGGTGACTCCTTTGGTCCCAGTACTAAGTGTCAAAGCTCAAATTTTGAAGCTACAATAATTTTTTATTTTTAGGGTTCATAAAACTTTGGTCCCCTTGAAAGTGGCACTTTACCCATTTGAGTAGGGGTGTGAATTTCTAACACGACACGATAACATAACACTCGAACATGACCTGGAATTAGCAGGTATTAACATGACTTGAAATCAAGTGGATCATTGTTAGGTCAACCTATTAATAATATAACGAAAAAGGAGTTGGGATGGGCCAACCTACAGGTTGACATGTTAACTTGGTAAAAAATAGTTTTTTTAGAATATTATAAACTAGGCAATTCTTAAAAACTAAAAACCTACAAATCAAACTAATAAATTATCAACGTAATGCAAGACGACTCATTAATCTTCCTCCAACTCATTTATCTAATTGTCTTCCTCTAAATTCAAAACCCTACACCCCTACCGCCATACTTCTTTTCTTAAAACCCATTCCCTAAATCACAAGTTTGGACTTGCAAGTATATTGTTTGAGTAGGTATTGATCTTTCTTTACATCAGGCATGTGCAGTATATTGGTCAAAAGTTAAAGAAAAAATTCAAAAAATAATTTGACTGGGATTTAGTTGAAATTTGTTTAACATGATTATGAATTCTATCGTGAATATTTATATCCATACCAAATAGTAGATGTATTGCGTTTGGAGTTGGAGTTGTACTAATATTTTTGAAGTTTAAACTTTGGCTTAATACTAGGTTACATGGTGACAATAATAGAATTTCGTTTTCCTTGGTTCCAAAGTGGAGACAACTGATATGTCTATTTTTGTCAAGTAATATGCTTATTTTCTTTCGACAAGAACAATTGATATTTAGTTGAATGCCAGATTTTGTATTCTTATGTATTCTCATACTATGTTGACCAAACGTATTTTTCCTAAAAACTTTTAATTTCTTTTGACATTAATTTGTCAGTGAATCTTAAGTAAAAATTTCATCTTTGTATAAAAAAATGAAATTACTAAGAGTATTTAACTCCAATTTACAAAGCTAATGTTATAATCTATAATCAAACAATTGATGTTCTATGAATTTTCTTCCTTCTCTTGATTCTTATTTCATTCAGTATTGATAAAATATTCATTTTATTGTAGGATAAAGATGGCCTAGATGGTAAGCTATATCCATTATGCTAAGGTATATCGTTTTAAAAGTAGAAATAGGACTGGAAACATGAAACATCATCTTATTGTTTGTCCTAAATCAAACACGAAAGACATTAGACAAGCACGTTATTGACACAAAGCATGGCTCTCTCAAAAATCCTAAACTTAACAGGAGAAGTTTAGAGAGTTATTATTCATTTCTTTTCTGCATGATATGCCTTTCTTATTTGTTGAATATGAGGGGATTAAGGAGATTTTTGAGTACTTAAATCCAAAGGTGAAGCATATCACTAGGAATCCTGCCAAAATGGATATCCCAAAAATGCATGTAAAACAAAATTTGTCTAAGAAGGTGAAAGTTATATCATTTGATTGCTAAAACAGAATTTGTTTTACTTGTGATTTGTGGATGTCGATTGCTATTGATGGCTATACTTCTCTTACAGTCCATTTCATTGACAATGATTAGAGCTTATAAAAAGAAGGGATAATTTCAGAAACCTCCCTATGTTTCTGATAATTTCAAACAGCTCTTCTCATGTTTTGAAAATAACACATACCTCCTCTAGAACATAAGTTTGGGTTTCACATTGATGAGGTAAGACCAAAAAGTATATGAATGCCCAAAATTGCCCTCATCTAATTTTCAGAATATGAATAGTCATTAAAAATTTTTAAAAATAAAAAATACACTTGTATATTACAAAATTATGAGTTTTATTACTTAGCCAATGTCCTGATATTTTCCATTCCATGGTTTCCTACGTCCACCCAAATTTTCAAACTCTTATCACTTCTTCTTTTTTCAAACAAACTCTTTATTTTAGATGACAAAATCCACTTTCATAATTCTTACCTTTGTAATCTTTACTTCTCTATAGGTTTCTTCCATATATTGCCTACCAAACTGTTAGTCATAAAACTCACAATCCTTACTTTTTTCCTACTCAAACAGCCAAGTCCCTCAATTGCCAAAATTCTTCATTTTTTGTGTGATAGAAGGTTACAATTTGATAGGCTTGGGTAAAATAGTTTGGTCACAATATGTGGTCTGGTCAAGAAGAATTGTTTTCTCTTTTTTTTTTGTTACTTTTTTATCAATGACTTGTCTTTGAAAAAATCATGAAGGTTATTATAGTCATTGTTTATCATCAAGGGAGGTAAATGTAATATTGAAAACCTCAAGAGAGCTCAATGAAATTATTACAAACCTCAGGGGAGGTTTCTGAAATTATCCCTAAAAAGAATTTTGAATTTTTCTTATATTCCCCCATCACGCCCTCTGGTAGTGTTTAAGCTGAGAAGATATTTAAATTGTTATATTATCTAACTAGCAAATATTATTATCTACCATTATTCCGTATTTGGTCCTAACCTACTAATAAAAAGTATTATAACTTATCGTACTATAAACTTTACTTTTCAAATTCCAACCCCTTGTTTTTAATTTGATGGTGGGAAGAAACTCAGAATTTTTGTTTTATTTTTACATTTTGGAATCGGTCCCTCAAAAAAAAAAAAAACAATTAACAATGCCCAATTTACGACATATGGTAATCGAATGTTGGTCTTACAGAATAAAATCGATAAAATCAATAAATTTTTTAAACCGAATTTCCAATGATCGGTTGATGAATACCCTAATTTATAAATTTTACAATAGCACTTCTTTCTTTTCTTTTTTTTTTTAAAAAAAAAAAGACAAAACAAAACATAAAGTCTCCCCGGCCTTCATCGTAACTGCGAGGGTCGTCTACAATGTTCAGCCAGAACACGCAGCAGGCTTAGGTCGTCCTACATTAGACACATAGACTTAGGTGGCAGTGGCACCCAGCAGGCTGCAAGATCAGCGTCGAACGCGCTTATCTTCAAAGTTCAAACCAAACCAAACCAGTCTTGCGCCCGCCCCGTGCAGATAATAACAATCATTCAGTCAGATTTACACATTGCAACTCTGTCATCTCTGTCCTTTTTCCTTGCTTTGTCAGCATCTCAATCTCTTTCAACCTTGACGTAGTTGTGGTTTTGTCGTCATAACGATAAATAATGTTCCAATTTCAGCCATCCACATGTTCCTCGTTAATTTTGGGTTAGACAAATACAAGTCAGAGAAAGCATCGTATAAGGCGTCGGTTTCTTGTCATTCAAACATCTGATCTCTCGCGTATATTCTGGACGTTTAAACAAAAGCAAGCATTTATAGGAAAAGGGTCTGGGGATTTTGGTGTCGGGTTGAGGAGTTAAAGCGTATTTGGAGGAGTAGCTATGACGAAATGGGCGAAAGAAGAAGTGGTTTTCTTCGAAAGTGGGGAAGAGGATGGGGATGTAGAAGAGGGGATGGAATCAGAAGAAGAAGAAGAAGAAGGAGACAAAAGTGTTGCTGATGTTGATAATGAAAGTGGACGTCGTAGTTTTTCGCCTTCTTCTTCGTTCATTTCTCAACAATGGCCTCAGAGTTGCAAGTAAGTTTGTAATTTATGCGAATACGGCTTCGTACAGAAGCTCTGTTTCTTTTGTGCAATAGCAATTCGAACCTGAGGATTCATGGTAGAATTGATCAATTTGAAGCCTGATTACCTGATTTAGATTTACAACTAGTGGGCATGCGTAAAGTTTTGCTTTGGTACCAGGGAAAGTGGAGGAGTGGGATTTGCTCCCAACCAATCTGGTATTCCATGGGTGCTTGCATGAACTTTCTGCGTTTAGTCTATTGGGATTGAGTTATTTGCTGATTGGATGTTCTTATAACTTCAGTATTTGCCAAAATCAGTCCATGGTTGAGTTCTATGGGCGTTTTAGTTCCAAGAAGATGGCATTTTCCATGTTTTAGTACTCAAATTTGTGAGGTTATACTCTATAAGGTGCTCTGTTTTGCTTTTGAATCTTGATATATGCTTTTAAACATTTTTTTTTATGACTCAAAATGGATTTTAGTGACGATCACATAAATTTGATATGTTCTGCAAAGTTGATGGATGTACTTTAATTTTTCCGTATTATTCCAGAGAAACAACGGATTTCTACTCAATTGCAGCATCGCCAAATTTCGGAAATCTTCGGGGCATATCTGGTGCATTTTATCCTGACGGCAGCAGTCAGAATAGCTTGGACATTAGTGGGAAGACACCTTTGCTTTCCGAGTACAAGAACATAAATCAGAAAGGAGAAGTAGATAGGATATCTGCAAGGCAGTCCTCTTGGCTGGAAAAGAGTTCTGTTTACCGACAATTGACTGGAGAACTTCCTATTGGTCAGGGATGTAACTTAACACAAACTATATTCAATGGTAGGCATTTCCTTCATATCCTTTACAAGAATGACTGGCGTTTGTTTAAAGTATTCATACACCTGTGGTTCGTTTGATTATCTATCTATGGAATTCCCAAAAGTAGATTAAAATTCAGTAACAACTTTATTTGTGAATGTGTTTTTCTTGTTTCTGCTACTCTTTGACATTCAGTCTTTCGTTTTTCTGGAATTTACCTGTATGTTTTGAAAAGAAATTACAGTTTCTCTTACTGAGGCTATGGACAAACACCATAAACATGTAAAGGGGGTGGAACAAATTCATTGGGGCTTGTGTACTTGCTCATTTTAAGAGTGCAAAGCTGATACCTTACCATACATGGAGACAATAGAACGTAGTGGTATGAGCATGATTGTATGAGTGTGTTTGTTGGGATGAGAGGCAATGAGGACTGAAAATATTTGTTGTTTTTCTTGCGGAATTTATCTTGTTAATAACAGCCTATATTGTCTTGCAATGAAACAGGGATAAATGTTATGGCTGGAGCTGCACTTCTTTCTACACCTTATACTGTTAGAGAAGGTGGCTGGGCAAGTTTGTTTGTGCTTATTCTCTTTGCATGTGTCTGTTGCTATACTGCTGAACTTATGAGACACTGCTTTGAAAGCAAAGAAGGCATCTTAACCTTTCCAGACATGGGAGAGGCAGCATTTGGGAGATTTGGACGGATTTTTGTTTCTGTAAGTTTTTCTAAACTTGAACTCTAGCAGATTTCATGCTTAATAATGACTGAGTGGTTTGATGTAGGAAACTTTAATTCTGTCATCAACAATTCATTGCAGTGGCATGGCTTTCTTTTTAATCTTCTTATGCTTGCCAACAAGATAGATGCCATATTTATGTAGCATCATCAGCAATTAACCAACCACACAGACTTCAGTAAAAATTATAAATGTGGGGCTAGTTCTGCAACTCTAGTTCTGATAAACTTATATACTAATTCCCACAAAGACACTGTTATGGCACTTAAACCTTTCTTGCTAGCAAGCTAATTCTGATGCTGCCACCCTCCTGTTTCAATTAAACGGAAACAAGTAGGTGGAAAATGTAATACAGTGAATGCATGGTAGCTAAGCAATTAATTTGAAGTTTCACTGATTGCTTTCTTCGGTTTTGGTGCAGATCATCTTGTATGCGGAATTATATGTACGCAAAGCACTTGCCTTACGTGTTTATATATCCCTTTGCAAGTTTATCCTATCACGGGTTTCTAACACATATTCATTGGAGTGCAGACAACATGCGTGGAGTTTATAATTCTAGAAGGAGATAACCTGTCCAGATTATTCCCTCGTGCATCTATGGATTTTTCTGGTTTTCAACTGGATTCCACGCATTTGTTTGGAGTTTTAACAGCTCTTGTCATTCTACCCACTCTTTGGCTAAAAGATCTACGCTTGATCTCTTATCTTTCAGGTCTTTGTGTTGCTCTGCTATTGTTTCTTATTAAGGTTTTGTTGTTTGAAAAGTGGGCTGATAATTTCTGCTTAATGTGAATGTTGACTGTGATTTTTGCAGCTGGAGGGGTCATTTCAAATGTAATCGTAGTTTTGTGCCTATTTATTCTTGGCACAGTAGATCATGTTGGATTTCAACATAATGGTCCATTAGTGAACTGGAGCGGTATTCCTTTTGCTATTGGGGTCTATGGGTTCTGCTATTCAGGGCACTCTGTTTTCCCAAACATCTACCAATCAATGGCTGATAAAACCAAATTTACTAAAGCAGTGGTCATAAGGTAAAAAGCACTTATCTTGTGGAAGTTTCCACATAAGCACACTTGTCAGGTTAACTATATTTGACGGGCTTTGAATTGCAAATGTCACCTTGCTTGTGCAGTTTCATGCTATGTGTTTTACTATATGGTGGTTCTGCAATCATGGGATTTCTTATGTTTGGTCAAAGCACAAAATCTCAGATTACTCTGAATTTGCCAAAACATGCAGTTGGTTCGAAAATTGCATTGTGGACGACAGTGAGTAAAATCTGAAATATCTGTCTACATCTCTCTGTACAATTATACATTTTGTTGGTTGCCCAACTTCAACGCAATGTTAATCATCTGGTTCTTTTCACTTTGTACAGGTTGTCACCCCACTCACTAAATATCCTTTGCTATAAGTTTTTGTTGTTGATAATATAAGCAATTTGTATGTTATGTTATCGTATGTTCTCGAGAACTGCTCTGATAAATTCCTTAATGCTCTGCTTAAATATGCCCTGTTGATGAATCCCTTGGCTAGAAGTATAGAAGAGTTGCTTCCTGCTAGGTTCTCTGATAATCTCTGGTGCTTCATTTCTGTAAGGACAGCACTTGTCCTATCTTCTCTCTGTGTTGCATTCGTTCTTCCTTTCTTTGGTAAGTAGTGCTTGTCTTATTTTTGTTCCTTTTGGGGCTTGACTTTCTTTAAACGTGAGAATGGGTTGGTGAGGCTATAATTCTGGTTTGAACATTGTTTAAGCAAGTTCATCACTCTTTAATATCTGCAAGGAATCCTAATGGACTCTTATCATAAATTGGCCTACTACATCCTCGTCTAATTTTCTTAATGATGCAAAGTTAAGTTGGTTGATGTCAACCAGAAAATATTTTGTCAACAGAAATCTTTGTTTAGTGACATAACTAATAGGTCCCCAAGATGAAACTACCAATTAGAGTTTCTAAATCTGTGACATGATTGTTTGCTATTCGAGAGATTATTCTGCTGTCGATGACACAACCACCAGATCAACTCAAGTGTGTATTCTCTCTCTGTTGTAGGTCTGGTGATGGCTCTAGTTGGTTCGCTCTTTAGCATTCTTATGGTAAGTCCAGTACACCTTTGTAAGCAGGAACTTAATGTTATTTGTAGAATGCCAAGTTTTCTTATGGGAGTGCTGGTCATTCACTAGCTTTATGTATTCATTAGGCATGTAAAGCTTCGTGGGAAATTATGTCAGTATTGTAAAGCACCTCACCTATATGGCTGTTCCACTTGTAACTGTTACTCAATTTTTGTCTGTAATTAGAGACTCACTAATCACTATTGGTTTAATTCTAATTTTCACCTCTTCCCATAGGCTGGAAAAGTTGTTCTTGAAGTGCCATGTATGTTGGGATGTGGAATCATACAGAGAGCTGTTTGTATTGCTTTTTCGTGTTCTAAACCAAGCTAGGTATCTTTTCAGGGTAACTGGTTACTTGCATAATTAAAGAGTTTAAAAAAAAAATAAGAGGAGAATGGCAGAAAAGGAGTTTACATTCCACTCCCACACTTCACACCTCAAAATGTTGATTCTTTTTCAATTGCTTTGACTTCTCATGTTTCTCTTTTTTTTTTTTGGCAAAAAATATTATATGCTTCAATTGTTCTGTCATTTGCTGTTACTTGTCTATATAACACATGCCACTTGATCCAGGCAATTGTAATGCCAGCACTATGCTTTGTGAAAATATTGGGGAAAAAGGCAAACAGAACTCAGGTATGAGCAAGTCCTTGCACTATTTTGCTGTTGTAACATATATGAACTGCTTCTCTGTCTATCTGGTCCTTTTTCTCTGTACAAGGTGCAAGATGTAGAACAAAATGTTGGGAGGGTTATAGACAAAACTTAGATTTTCGCCAAGATTCAGGAATCTGGATAAATTTTGTAGTCAAAACATATGTGATGAACATCTTTTTGGCAGGAAAAATTTCTTTAAGGATAAGTTTCTGAACTGTAGTAGATATGCAATATAACCACAACCTGAAGTATAACCACATGCTAAGCTAGCGATAATGGAAAGCATAGTCATTTGGGAAACCGAACAAGTTTTTGTTAACTAGTCAAGATAGCAGAAGCATGCCCCAAGTGTTTCTTGTGTTTTATGTTACCTTTATCTTGTGTTGAATATAATTGCATCTTTTCACTTGATTACATGTGGCTTTTACTTCCAGGTTGTGCTCAGTATTGCTATTGTTGCACTGGGATTGGTGAGTGCATGCGTGGGGACTTATAATTCAGTATCAAATCTTGTCAAGAAATACTAAATTTCTGTAACATGAGAATTCATATTGTTGCCTTGCTCTGTAAGGACATGCACTTGAAGTCCCTGAGGCTATTTTTTTTGTAGTAGATCTAATCTCATCAAGGTGTATTTGCACCAAAAAGGAGGAGGTTTTTTAAGTCACAGTTGTGTATCCTTCTAATTAAATTCTCCTTATTGTCATATGTAATAACAGGAACTGCAATTAGACAGTAATCTTTCCAATAGCTGCTGCATTTCTTCTTTTCAAGATATGGTACATTCTCCCTTAGCATGTCCAAAATTAAAGATATCACATGGTAAATTCTATTTTCTGATTGGATGGCTTGCTTTATGAGAAAATGAAGAACAGATCTCAAGAAGATGAAATTTCTGACTTGGGCACCTTAAACCAATAATCAGTCATGCCCATATAAATCCCATCCTTTTAAAAGAAGAAAGTGCATTGATTATTGAGCATGTTGACGTTAGAAAAATCCCAAATCCACTGGAACTAGGGGTGGGTAAAAAAATTCGAAAATTCGAAAATTCGAGAAACCTGATCCGATTCGCACCGAAAAATAGGATATCCGATCCGATTTTTATCAATGGATCAGATAGGGTCGGGTATCCTAAACATTCAGATACAGATACGGATCATAGAAATAAAAATTCACGGGTACCCGACCCGGGGTATAATATATAAATATTAAAAATATAAGGGTAATTGTGTAATATCTTAAAGTTATTAACCCTAAGGTCAATTGGAAAATTTGGAATGGTCATCCATTCAGATCAGCAGCCGACACTTTACTTTCTCCTTCTCTTTCTCGAAAACTCCCTTTCTCCATCTCTTCAATTTTGTCAAGTTGAACTCAAGCCTGCAAGCCTCCTCAAGCAGACGATTCAACAGAGACTTTGGATTTCGATTTCTGCAAGCCTCAAGCAGACTGTTCAACAGATTTCTCAAGCCTCAAGCAGAAGTTCTACACCGACCTTCATCTGCAGGTTTGTTTTTTTGTTTTTTTTAGAATGCCGACCTTCAGTGAAAACTTTGATTTGTTGAGTAGTCTTAGTGCTTGAATGCTGCATCTTGCAAATTGTGATGGCTAGGAGCCTAGGATAGATAGTCCAGAAAATAATAATGTAAACGTAATTTAAGACCTGCTATAGTACTAATCATCCTAATTCAGCCAACATGGCAAAAACTGGGAAAAAAAGAGAACGAAAAAGCAAGTTCCTGTTCCATGAATTAAATAATTAAGCAAAGTGAAAAAAAAAAAGAAAAAAGTTACCTCGTAATGATCCACAAGTTCTTGGAAATAAGAGTAAACCTGATTACACGTATCATCAGTCCAAACGAACTCATCAGTAGGATCAAGAATAAGAGTAAGTTTGTCCATCTGTGTTTGATCAAATTCACTAGTTTCAGGGTCAAAATAAGCTGCATAGATCCTAACGTGTCTTGTTGCAGAGCTAATTTTTTTTCAGGTTTGACAGAGGACCATTCTATTATTAATATTGAAGATTGATGATTCTTGAAGATTGTGCTCCTTAATGTGTTGTAGAAGGATGAGGTTGATAAAACATTTTAGGGATTGTAATTTTTCTTAAAATTTTATTGTATTTGTTGACATTCAAGTTGTTGACACAAGTCTGAACTATTGAGAATTGAATATGATATTGTCTTTGTCTAGTTTGAAACGAATGCTGCTATTGTCTTTGTTTTGGCTAGATTAATCACGTACGGCAGGTTCATATACAAGAATTTGCATTCTTTAAATAGGGGCGGGTACCCTATGACCTGCCCCTATTTTTTCGGATTAGAGTCAAAAAAATAGCGACCCGATATGTTAGGGTCGGGTCAGCCAATTGTCGTTCGGGGGCGGGTATCCGACCCGTGCCCACCCCTAACTGGAACGAGTTAACCACATCAACAGTCTAAAATGTAGGAATAATTGTCATTTTCATGAGATCTTAGTGATTGGGGAAGCTGATGAGAGAAACTGACTTATCCTTGATAAAACCATACCCAAAATCTTTGTCGTTTAATGTTATTACACCATCATTGCTTCATAATTATTCTAATTACTCACAACCTGCCTTATGTAAACATGTCTCTGGATGAGTTTGTCTTGAAAAAGATCTGTGCTCTTATCAATTTTTTTCCATGTGTTTTTAAACATGGATATTTTAAATAGAGCTATAAAACGAATGAATGGCTCTTGAGATCAGTTTAGCTCAGATCGTATAAGTTCGAGTTGGGCTCGTTTGTTTAATTAAATGAGTCGAATTCAAATATCAAATTAAGCTCGTTTTCAAAAAGAGCCAAGTCAAATTTGGCTCACGAATGGTTCATTTCAGTTCGTTTAGGCTCGTTGGTATATTTATTTAAGCTAGTATTACTAATTTTTCTTAGTAATTATGTAGATTTTCCTTGTCTTGATTATTTAGGAATTTATTTTTTTTAAATATTGGGAATCTTCTTATATTTAGTGAATTTTTTTATTACGCAAATTAAATTAGTTATATTTTTTTGAATTGCAAAGCTATATAAGATATTCAAACATATTTAAGTTTTTTTTTTTTTTAAGTTCAAGCCCAATTCAAACTCGGCTGGTTTATGTCATATGAGTCGAGTTCGAGCTTGGGATAATTTTAATAAGCTGAACTCGAACACAAATTTTGGCTCGTTACATAAACGAGTCGAGTTGAGCTCAGCTCACTAACTATGAGTGGAGCTTAAACATCAAAAGTTCGACTTAATTCGACTCGTTTAGAATACTAATTTCAAATAACTTTTCGGAAAAAAAATATACTTTCGGTTGTCAGCGTATGGGATTTGGAGCAGCTTGGCACCTGTAATTTTTCTGATTCTTTGTTTTCCTTGTAATTTTTGTTCCTTATTCCCCCTTAATTTGTAAGGCAACATAATTGGTCACTCTTATGATGACTATAGTTACTCGTAGTTCAATGAGATGCAATTGCATTAACTTTATGTTAATTAGTAATTACATTCTTGTTATGTGAATATTAATGTTGTCTGTTTTGATTTGTCGGACTAAAGAAACTTGTTTAATTTTGACCCTATCCAGAAGTTATCATGGCTCTACCACTGTCTTGTCCATTGCCAAAATATTCACTACAAACATAGTAGTACAGCAATAAGAAGAATGCCCAATTATTATAATTGAGAAAGTGAGAATATATTATTGATTTTTACAATCGGCAATATCTTCTGTTCCCAGTTTTCCGAACAGAGTTTGAAGACAGATCTAATAATTGTGAAAGATATATAAAAGTGCAATATTTGTCACCATTCCCACTGGGTATTAATCTAGAAAGTATACTGTAAACTCCACAAGCTTTCGTCAAAACATGCTAAAAGTATTCTACAATAGAAGAGTTTTACATGAACGATTTTTTGGACAAGCAAACCGATGAATAAAATCTAAAGCACTGTTTGATAATGCAGTCGAGCATTTAAACTTAGTTCAACACTTAAAATTAATGGATTTAGATAATATATTTAGACCGTTTGATAACAAAAAACTTAAACATCTAAATTAATTAAGTAGTACTGAATTCTCTAAATAAAACTTGTTTCTAAAATTAAGTGACAAGTTATTCACTTATCACTGAATGTGATATACATTCAAATGTATTAGATTTAATACTTAATAATTCAATAACTTAATGAATTCAAATTTCAAATTTCAGATTTCAATTTTTAAATTTTTAGATTTTAAATTTTAATTTTATCAAAGGTATCCTAAGTTACAATTCTAACTATGTTGCCAGGAAGCAAACAGTCCTTCTGAATGATTTGAGTACGAGTTATACAGACCATCTTTCTTTACGTCCCGAGTAACTGGTTCATTGATACCGGGATGAGTAGCCGTGGATATATCTGAAAAATACAAGATCACACACGAAGTTATGGCGTGGGACTTCCTCCCCCCTCCCCGGGGATAACCCTGACGCTGCTTGGGACTTTTCTCTAGGATAACTCCGATGCTCAAGAAGTCAAAGTTGAGTTGGAGTGTAGCGTAAAGTAACAAATAGGAGTCTGGCGAGAGGGAAATACATCCATGAGCAAATCTATCTCGTGAAAGGGAAATAGGATCCTTTACCAAATAAAGGCACCGACTCCTCCAGATAAAGACGTCGTCCAATATTGTTGTAGCAGCTGATCGCTATCACCTAGTGACTAGTGAGTCACAACTATCTTTCATTGGGATGGATGGGAAAAGGGAAAAATTCACTTTTGGTTCCCAAACTTTAAGTCAGAGACACATTTCGTCCCTCAACTTTCAGGTGGTACATATTTGGTCTCTGAATTAATTTTTTTTGGACACATTTGGTCAGAAAACGTTAATTTGTCGAAATTAGACAGAGAGGATCACGTGCGTTGCACATGGCTATTAAGTGATATACAATACTCAGTCAAACAGTCAAAATCAAACAAAATTTATAGCCTCTCCCCAATTTCATCTTCCCGTTCCTCGCTCCTCCATTCTACCCCTTTCAACTACACATTCGAATCCAGAAATCAGTACATTGGAGGTTAACGAATCGTGATTAAAGCCAGCATAGGAGTGATGTCGATTTGGAAAAAGAATTGAACGATCAGCCGCCGCCAACCTACGGTAAATTTATAGGGTTTTCACATTAATTAGTCACCAGAATAAATTATGTAAATTTAGCAACTTTTGTGGCTATAATATGTCAATGTGGTCCTTGATGTTTGTGTTGTGGGTGTATGAGTGAGAATCTGAGTGAGGGTTAGTAAAAAAATGCCGAAGGCCTTTGGGCTTGGATATGAGTGAGAATTTGAGTTTTTTTGTAAAAAGATTAAATATTTTTATTTGGCTTTGTCGGAGCATATATGGTAGAATAATCTACATGTGGTCCCTATTTTCGATTATGATATTTAAGATGGGTCCAAGCTGTTCGCATTGTTGGTTACATTTTTGCTGCTATGAGTTGCTTTGCCTGATTCATTGATTTGTATGTGAATTTTTTTTATCAAAACAAGGTTCTACACTTATAACACTAAAGTGTCACCACGGTGGGCTGATCTCGTACACCCCTCATCTACATTATGAGGGTGGAGATGTTTATGTCAAACTATTTAGAAAGCATAGGTTTAAGTATTTTTGAAATAGATAGACTCACTGAAGCTGGTGGAGTGTGCAAACATAAAGTGTACTATGTTTGGGATTGGGAAATCAGCAACTTTATAAGAATAGACAGTTGTAAACTGTAGACACCAAAATTTTACCAGTTTTTATTTATTTTTTTATATTTTTCTTTTTATTTTATTTTTAATTTATTTTTGTTTCATTTTATATTTCTTGAAAAAAATCATTTTAGAAAATTCAAAAAAAAAAAAAAAACCGCGCACAAGCACCACGCGCGCACCTTCTTCTTCACGGAGCTGGTACAAAAACCAGCAAATAGTACCGATTTCCAGCTGCCATTTTCCACCCATTTTTGGGCATTTGTATTTCCCTTTTAACCCTTCAGTACCAAACCACGTAACCCAATCCCAATTGACAAGAAGCTTCCAGATTAAAAGCCATCTAATGGCTTGAAATGGACCAAAAATGCATTTCTAAATCTGATCCTTAGATGCTAGGTTTTGGGGTGTTTTAGTGCCCATAAAAAGGCTCCAAAAGAACGCAAGAGAGGGGGGCGGTGGAACAAGGAACAGAAAGAGAAAAAATGGAGAGAAAGGGGAGAAATCGAGAGAGAAAAGAAAGGAGAAAAATTTCTGCAAAAAAATTTCGTCGGGAAGGTTGGCGAAACAGCTCCATTTCCGGTCAAATTACAATCTAATCTCCAACTCTTAGAGCGAGATTTCTTTTCCTTCACCTTCTACGTATACTTGGGAACAAATTTTGTTCAGAAATCGTTCAGTGAAAACGCCTTCGAGGTGACCAAATCGAAGCTCCAAAGTTGCTGCTTTAATGCTCCCGGCTCAAACTACAACCTTGCGGAGGACTTCGTCAAATCCACTTCCGTCTGTGTTTGTTCGCTCAAATCCGGTCCCAAAAACTTCATCAGGCAACCATGACACTCTTTCTCGCTTGGTTTAACACATTTTTATGAAGAACATGACCCTTTGGACGTGAGTTTGGACTTTGTTGCTGCTGGGTTTGTTTCATGTTTCTACCATGCTTGACTTCAGATTATTTTCTTGATTATGGCCTGTTCCTGTTTATGTTTAGCATTGGGTTGTGAAATAAAACACATAAGTTATAAGAGCTAGCTTGCTTGGGAAACTCGTTTCGTGCGTTTGGTGGAAATGAAACCCAGAAATGGTGAAAAGAAAGTTGCAGAAGGAAAAATGTTGAAGAAGAAAGCTTCTTCGTACAGGCTGCATGTTCTTTTTCTCAAATTGCATTTTTACCCCCAAAGTTTAATTCATTTTACTATAGCCCAAATACTTTCGCAATTGAACCAATTTTGC